GTTAAATTTGACCCTCTGAGTTTTTTGTAAATCTCCATGCTTTGAGACCTACTGAATCCAAAAAAGTAAAAAAAAAAAAAAAAAAAGGCAAAAAGTTCCGTGTGTGTGTCTATTTTGCTTAATATCTCAGGATGGGGTAAAGATTGAGAAACAAAATTTGGCATGGTGGCTTTGATGTTCTTAAATTTTTGTGGTGAAAGGTCAAAAGGGTGGGGCGCTAGAGAAGTGTCATGTCTCTTGAGGAATAGTACTTAATGAAGATCTTATGTTATTAACATTCACACTTTTTTTTTTTATAAAACTCATCCCTACTGTTAAAGTTAAGTTTTTTGCCATTTTATAGTAACTAAAAATATAACAGATGGATGTGTAAATGGATAACAAAATTTGTTATCCATTTACACATCTATTTGTTAATTTTATTTCAATTTTATCCATGTCTGCCTTTTAAAGTTTTGTTAAAAACAATGATGTCATAAGAAAGAAGAAACTTTTGTAAACAATGACGTCATTCGAATATTTGTTAACAGATGTTTCAATGTTATAGAACCTGAAGAAGGCCATTTAAAATGGCTGAAAACATTTGTTATCTTATGGATTAAGAAACTGCTAGAAAAAGAGGTGAAAGGTTTTGTGGAACTTATTTAAAGAAATTCTAGCTTTTCATGCATGGAATTATAATATAATGTTTAATGCACAAATAATTTACAAAGGAATTAAACTCTTAACATTATTTATCAAAGTTGTAAATTTATTAGAGTTATGATCAAAAATAGAAATATTACAAGGGTGAATTGAGAAGTTTCTTGAATGACAATGAAAACAAACTAAATGATTTTAAAGTTATGCTTTATTTTTCAACATAATTCCGTCAAATCTTAACACACCCAATCCAATGTTCCTCCAGTTTATTTAATTCTTTCCCGAAGTAATTTTCTCCAAGGCAACCAAAATAATTATCTACTGCCTTGATCATCTCTTCATTAGACCAAAATTCCTTTCCAGCTAGGAATGTTTTTGAGTTTCATGAACAAGAAGTCTGAGGGAGCCAAGTCCAGCAAATATGGTGGATGCAGAATGATTTCAAATTTAATTCCTGGATTTCTGCTTTGAGTTTGTCTAAAAGTTTTGCATAGTTTTAGACCAGGTGTCCACGGAAATTTCCAAATTTACAACTTTTTGGTCACTCTTGTTGAACTGGAAAAATTTCTGTCTTTATTACGTCTAATATTAAGAAGAAATCAGTCCATACTATATTCAGTTAAGCTTTTGTTTAAGTAAAATTCCGGCTCTTTCAGCAGGGTTTTATTTTGTCCCCAATTCCCTAATCACTTAATTATTTAACTACTTCTTAAGTAGAAATAAGTCGAAACTGGTTACTTTGTACTCGAATGTTTCTAGTCTTGGGAATAAAGTGGAGAGACAAATTTTTATGACAAACGGATACATAAATCGTAAATTTAAGGAAAATAAATTCTAGAGCTTTTTCTGTACCTCGTGTTTCTCTCTCATTCATTAAATTTAGTTGTAAATGATGCTACCAAAGTAACAGTTAATTTTTTAACATTGTACAAGAATTGTACACGTTTTTTTCTCCATCCCCTTAAAGATGGGACATGCGAAATCGTAATATCACCGGTTTAACATTGAAATCCGTGAGTAATATAAAATCGGAGAGCGAAATAAAAATATCAAATATTGTAATGAATTTTTAAAACTCCTGTCAACTATACAGAACTATCAAAAACATAACCCGACCAATAAGAATATACTGGTAAGTTATAAATCTACTTGTTATTCACGTAATCGGGTGAGGGCGACCAAATATCTAACAGGTGGGCGGCTAACAGCCCAGAACCACTCCTGGATAGAATCATTGGAAGCATTATACATGTGTAGCTTCCACCAGCTAAACCGGGTGAGTTGGTGCTTTGTACACCGCGTGCGCGAATGAGTATAATCTAGTTTTGCATAGTATTGACCAGTGAGGTTTTCCTTTTCCAAGATAGTCAATTAACAAAATTCTTTTGGTCTGCTCCAAAAGACCAATCCTATCACCTTGCCAAGTCAAATGAATGATCTTTGCTTTCTTTGAAACCTGCTCACCATCTCCAATCCACTGTTTTGATTGAATTTTTATTTATAGTGTGTAGTGAATCCATATCTCATTCATTGTCACAAATCATCACTTGAAATCTATTGGATTCTTTTTAAACAATTCCAAACTCTCAGCAGAAATTCAGTCTTGAATGCATTTTTGCTCTGGACTGAGAAAATGAGGCACCCATCTTGGAGACAACTTCTTTAAATCATTTTTTCAAAATATGAACTACTTGTTCATTGGAAATGCCCACAGCTTCCTCAATTTCATGCACTTTGATTCAGCTACCTTCTAACACCATGTTGTGGATTTTATCCACAATTTCTGGAGTGGTAGCAGTTTTTGAATGTCCTGAACAACATGGTTCATCACTTTGTGTGTGTGTGCATGCATGCACCCATGCTTGAATTCTGAAACCCAAAAACTTACCATGGAAAATGAAAGGGATGAATCACCCCAACCTAGATTTGATTTCTATTGTGGTTTTGGAGGGAAAAACCACCAGCTTGAATTTTATTTTTCTCCGTGTATGAACAGATACAAAGGGTATCTCACTTCAATGCTTGTAAAAACCTAACTATTCACAGGATCAGTGTGACATTTGGAATCAGTACATATGAAAGATTTGCAGGAAAAATATTTTCAAACGAAACATCTTCTAGCAGCGATTTTAATAATCTCTCAATTCCCTATTGTATTACAGTTTCTGAATTGTAATTACTTTGATACATTGTTTGAACAGAAATGATTTTTGGTAAAAGTTGAACTAGCTCCTGTAGTTAATCTATTGAAGTAAGTAATATGCTTTTATAATGGTAGGTAAGGTTTGAGAAATGCTAACATTTTTGATCTTCTGAAGATGTTCTATTAACAAGGTAAAATGTTAGTGTTTCTCCAACTTTTTCCACTTAAATGTATTGCTTATTTCTTTTTAAGTAACATTAAACTAAATTATAGTAATATATTTATATTCCATAGATCATTTACTTGTCTATTAGTACAATATAATCTTCCTAATATGACAAGTTTGGAACTGGAAGGTATTGAATTGTCAAAAAATTTGAATGGATGGGAAAGTTACATTTGTTACTTTCACTTTCTTCTCCATTAATTAACAACTTAATTGAAAACAAAACATTGTACAGCATTAAATAATAGGTTACTCATTCAAAAACCTTTTTTAATGCAGTATATATGACCTTTAAAATGATAGAAAACATTAGAATAAATGATCTTCAGGAAAAACATTCTAATAAGAACAAATGCCTAACTGTTTTTAGAAGGTTTTTTAAAATCTCATATCGTTATTAACAAAAATAATTTTATAAATAAATAAATAATCAAATAAATACATACAATAAAATAAAACTACATTAAAATAAACCAAAATATGTGGATGTTTATATATTATTTATTTACCAATCATTAGTGCTGTGCAGCAAAGTTTTCTGTGCTCCTGGAATTATATTAACATTCTTGAAATTACTTATCTGGTTCTTCAACATAGCTTTGTAGATGTGCCAGGCTTCTGCATATTTTATTTGTTGTTTCTTTTGTACTCTTTATATTATTTTAGCATTGTTCCATACAACAGAAACTGACTGAGGGTCAGAAAGTACATACATTGCTAACGCTGTGCCATAGTTGGATTTATTGATATCATTTTTATGTTCCTTGATTCTCACAGTTAATGATCTTGTAATAGCCAGTCCCTATTTAATATACAGGTAACCCCCGTATAACACAGCACTTCTATAGCATGGATTCGCTCTAACACGGTTTGAGAATTGGTACCATCCCCCGTATAACACGGTACTTTTATANTCAATTTTTACTTACAAATAGATAAATTCATTTATTTGATAAAACGCAAATATTTGGTTTATTTGAGTCTCTGATTAATAAAAAACCAAGAAACACCATTTTAAAGTGCATTTTTATTCAACTAACATATTTATAAATGATATGTAGCCCCAAAAGTAGCCAAAGCTCCAAATGATATTTTTTTTTACGTTAAACTAAAAAAAGTAGCAAGATTTGGCTCAATGTAGCCAAATCTTGCTACGCTGGAAGAAATACTAAATAAAGCTGGAGTTGTGACTCAAAGGATTATAGAGCCAAATTCGGAAAAAGAAGAGAAAGGACAAAAGATAAAGAAGTGAGAAAGGCTGGAAAATTAAGACTCAATATTTGCCTAACAGAAGAACTATTTAACCTTTCTGACAACATTTTAGCCTTTGTCCTTTCTCTCCTTTCACCAAATTTGGGTCTATAATCCTTTGAGTCACAACTCCAGCTTTATTTAGTAATCCTTCCTCATTCACACATCTCCAAGTACATGAAAATATTTCATTTCCACTCAAAACTGAAATATAAATAAAGGTTTACGGCTTTGTGAAACGTCTTTTATGAGTTTATGCCGTTGAAATAAATAAATAATAATAAAATTAAAACATTTGTCGGTTTTGTTTACACCTTTATTGGGCCGCATTGGAACTTGCCTTGGGCCGCATGCGGCCCGCGGGCCGCGGGTTGGACACCCCTGCTTTAGAGTATAAAATGTTAAATATTTTAATAACTCAATAAAGTAATTTCAATTGGTGAAAGCAAAGATCAACACTGTTTTAATGGTCGATAAAGCAGAAATAGGAGCGCAGAAGAGCTACAGTAAACGCTGTTTAACCTTATATTATATACTGAAATGGTCACCGAAACGATTTTCTTTATTTAGTCAGTTCATTTTTCATACTCATGAACTGTTTACAATCCGCAATTTGATTCGAGGAAAGAATTAATCACGCACTACATTTATCTCTTAGATCATTAGCCGTGCGTACACCTCACCAACAGGAATGAAAACGATTTTTAAATTAGATTTGAAAAAATTCATAAAATTCGGCCAATTTTTATGGAATGTTAATGCACTTTTACGTATTTATGTTCGTTAAGAATAACTTGACGATGTACTAATGATTTTATGCATTTTGCTTATCGTCAAATTTTTTAATAGTGATTTTATCGTAATTAACTAGAAACTTTGCAAGATAAATTATTTAATTTTTTACATTTTTTTTCGATTATTTAATAGTAGTAATATTTTTTTCCAGCAATATGCCTCCTGTTTCCAGTATGGCTCCAAGTCCTTGTCTTCAGCAAAGGGACGCTTCCGCTTACCCTTACATGTTACACGACACGCTTAGTTTGGGCACGTATTCTCGAGCTTCGTGCACACCCGCTCAGCCCATGACTAATCATCCCTCTTACGCTGTTAGTGGTGCTAGTCCTCATGGTGCAGGTAAGAGATTTAATTGAAGTAACAAATTCGATTTAGATTAATTAAATTTGGGTTTATGCGTATGAACCAGAGGAAAATTTCTTTGTTTCAGCTGGTGTGATATCACCAGGAGTGACAGTACCTGTGCAGGTACCGGGACAATCTCCGGATATACCTGTAACAACTAACTATTGGCCAAGAATCCAGTGACAAAAAGCATCTTGTTCTGTCATCTGGAGCGATTTGAAGAGATCAACTCAATCAATGTCGTCGTCGGTAATGTTGAATCTTCTGAGAAAGTGATGGCAGTTCAAGTGCATCACATTAGAACCTATGTAAAAAAAACAACAAAACAAAAACAAATATATATTAAATCAGCGAACGTTAGAAGAGATGCAAGATGAAATTACAATCCTCGTTTAGAAAAATGATTATCGGAAGTTTGACGTGAAAAACGTTTTATTTGGAGTTTTTGAAAGCTTGTTACTTTTTAGATACGTTTGAAGACCATTTGCCAATCTTACTAGTCAAAAGTTATGTATGATAATGCAATGCAATATCAGTCTTTTAGAATTTAAGGGAAAAAAGATGTAAGCTCGTATGTTTTCCTTTTCATTTTAGAATTCAACCGTGTTTTAAGATGAAATTTCGTCCATAATCATTCATATTAAAGAAAACAAAAATTTGCTCACCATATTCTTAAAAGAAAGCTGACCCGTTATAAACACAGTATTTTAGTCTTCCCTTTTGAAAAATCTGATGACCATAACCACCCAAAAATTTCATCATAATGTGACGCGTGAAATGCGCGTGAACGTGACTGTGATTCACCCCCATCCTTTTATGATACATTAAATAGGGGTGTTGTCTGCCTGTTTACCCGTTCCTAATAAAGCCTTGCTTTCCCACCCACATGATATTGTACAGGCCATTTTAATGTAGTCATCTCTAAGAAAAAAAAATATAGTCAATCAAATAAACACTTGGTGATTTTAAATATTTCATTCTCTAAAGAAAACAGATGGTTAAAAATTTGTAAATATCAAAAAAAAAAATCTTCGTGACAAAATGGCGGCCATTAAAAGCGCTCCTTAGACGCAGAAATTTCGTTTAGAATTTCAATTTAATGTATTTAAATAAAGTCTATTTATATAGTAGACAAAGTGTCGAATATTTAATGAACAGATTTTGACATTGATGTATGAGTGCATGTGTAATACAGCACGAATTAATATATTCAAATGTATGTTTTAATATTTTTGTGAGGTTTTTTGAATCGTGTGAATTGTTAATGCTTCTCAACAAAGAAGAAAACATGAAAATTTCCTTTTATGCAATTCAAATTGATTTATTTGAAAAACTGTAGCAAACGAACGAAACTCGCCATCAATAATTCAAAAAAAAAAAAAAACTGATCTCCCTTAATCACAATTACATATGATTTTAATGTCCTTCCAAAAGCTTATTAATTTTTATTTTAATTAACATAAAATTGTTTCCGGGATACAGTTTATGTACATATGCCGCGATTCACTATCATCACGCACAAATTATTGTTTTGTCAACATTTCTGTCACTAACGGTTAATCTCTGCATAACGACTATTACCATTTCCCTCATGTTACGTAACAGAACCGCTGCATGCGATCGTCGCAACTCCAAAGATAAACTCTAATTGAAAAGGGGGATCGATCGGCCATATCCGGATACAAATATGAAAATTGTCCAAATTTACAATATTAATTGCTTGATATTCACTCGAAATAATTACACACGATAAATTCGCGGGTGGGGGATATTTTTTTCCTCCTCACCCCAACGTTAACTTCAACAGCATTCTAACGTATTCCCTTCACGTTTTTTGGAAGTATTAAGCATTTTTCTCCCTTCTATCGCGCTCTTTCTTTATATTCTGGATAACTGGAGGAGAGCTTTTTACAATCCGCCAGTAATTTTATTCGCACAATTTACCGCGCGCATAGGGCCGCTACCCCGAAAAATCGCTTCATAAATATTGAAATTTATAAGGATGTAGATATTGGCCGTTGTTTGGCGCCAACATCAATCAAGAACACAGCACACGGAGACGGCGATGCATCTCTAGTTACGGCCTATTTGGAGATGAATCAGTCATTGAGCTACAAAGTGGTGCTTTCCGATGAGTGCGCAGAATTATAAAACGCCTATACATAAATAAATTTATTATTTTTTTTACGCTTTCCAGTATAAAATTTCGATAAAAAATTCAACTTAAATGGCTTATTTGTAGTAAAATTTTAATTAAAATAATATATACCAAATCAAAATTTCCTGTATCTGGAATGGCTGATGTCTCCTCGTGAGAACCTGTTTCCCCCCCTCATTGAAATCTCTTCGATATCCAACGATATATATTTTCTTTTTTTGTTGTGTTTATACGTTATAGTGTAGATCATATTTGACAATAAAAAATTTAATTCGTTATCTTGTCAGAAGTGATTCATTTTTATATACAAGAAGAAGGGGGGGAAAAATGGTTTCCCTCCACGCAAAATCACGTATACAACGAAAAGCTACAGTCGATAAATAATTCAGGTTTCAGGTATAAAAACTTTGTGTATCCCCCTTGTAGCATATGTGACAGTCTACAATTCGAAAATAGAATCGAATACTTGGCTGAAATGTAGGGATCAATGTGACATTTCCAACATACTTGATAGTCTTATGTCACGTGAAATGCCAAGATGACATACATCGTGAATCCAATTTTCACGGAAGGAGGGCGGACAAGAATGACACAAATGTATGAGATGGGAATTGTCCGGGGATTTTGATAAAAATTGTGGAATACAAATAGTTTCTGGATTTTGGAATCGAGAAAATATTTCTAAACAATACAAGTATTCCTGCTATCATATATTATGAGAATATTTTAGAAGACGAATCATTTTCAATAGGAATGTTAGTGAAAGAAAATTTAGAAATGAGGAAAACATTAAATCCTCTTACTTTGCCAATTATTTAGAAAAGAAAATATATTACTGCAGTTCACATACAACAAAAATATCTGAAAAATCGAATGTTTATTATTGTGATATCGTAACAATGCCGGGCTACAATTTTTAATCATTTTAATTTATACGAACTTCCGATTTGGACCGAAAGTCACGCGAGTTTTTATAGTTAATCGGGACTCCTAAGCTATCCATATCTAGTCTCGATTTTCATCTATCTCTCCGTTTTCGAAATTAACAAAGGACGAGCGACAGTGGGAACTTTTACGAAATAAATAGTGGCTTAAAAATCAAAGTTCTTAAAGTTAATTTAATTGACTTTAGGGCCATCTTGCATTTATAAAATATGTACAACGCAACTATCATGAAGCCTAAATTGCTAAGTTTTGGGCCTTTCCGTGTTCAATATCCAAAACTTCCATCTTTTCCCTATATCTAATTATAAGACAGAAATGGTGGATAATACTTAAAGTTCTGTTAACAAATTTTTCGAGTCTACATTATACAAATTAATCGAATTAAGTTAAGGAGAATAAGAGGGTTGGCTTTACGGTGTTTTCATAGGAAGCAATTCAGTCGTAAAAGCCTTGCTTTTACGACTGAATTGCTTCCTATTGCATAAAATTGCTTTCCTATTGCATAAAAATGAAATTATTTACTTTGTTGTATGGTTATTTATATTAAAATAGGAAAATCAAATATAAGTTGTATAATAAATAAGAATTACGCGTTATAAAATCACTTAATCACATTGTAATAAAATTCTATTTTATGTTATTTTGTGGGGAAGAAAATTAATTTTCAAATTCCGATTACGAATAGTAAGACTTTACGGCAAATTTTACTGATAAGATTAATTAGTTTACTAATAACTTTCGTTTATATTAAGTGTGATGAAAATCGCAAAAGGTCAAAGTTAAAATTCATACTTATACGAATTGTTCTGAACAGGAGAACAAATGTGGATGTATTTTTTCTACTTTAAGTTTATTCAAAAAGAAATGATTTATTACCGAAAGAAAAGTTAATTATTCTATTTTCAATTACTTAATTTTGACAGTAATTCTTGGGAATGTTTTGTAAAATACAGAAAATGTTTTAAATCAAAATGGAGGACACGTCCTCCTTTCAGATACCACGTGCTCAGTCTACTTGTTTGACCATTTTTTATTCATCTGTTCAATAAAAGTAGTTTCCCTTTGGTTTTAAATGAATAAACGTATATATATAAATATACAGTAAAACCTCGCTTATGTGACCACCCAAAATTTATAGAAACTCCATCTTGATTATTGGTGACTTCGCTTGAGAGGCCAAGACAGAAGCGCCCTAAATTGACATTTATCCCCATTTACGTGGCCAACAGAATAGGATAATCCGTTCAGTTGGCCACGTTTGCCTAGATCTGCACTCAACAAATTTCAGTATAGTACTTATTTGCAGTTGTCAACTTTTTTCATAAACTGATTTATGTAGCCACCGTTCGGGTACATAATTTCTGGCCGCTTTAAGTGAGGTTTTATTATATTGTATAGGAATTTTAATACTACTTTTTTTACATCATACTTCAAGTTTTAGAATCATATTTACTAAGAAAAATGGAATTAGTAAGATATTTTATAGAAATATTAAAACAATTCAGCATAAGAGAATATATTGTAACACATATTTTTATCATCTTAGAAATATAAAACAGGAGTTGAATTGAATCAAATTTTTTTATATAGAGCTCAATTATAACTGTTTAGACAACGATATCTAATTAGAATGTTATATAAGTGAATCTAATTAAGTTTAAAATAATACACTTGTAATTTATTATTGAAGAAGAAAAACCCATCTGATTTGCTTAACTTTCACTGCGAAAAACAGACAATTTTACTTTTGGGCTAAATTATATGGCGCCGCGCCATCTGTTACGAGATTTAGTTTAAAAATTTATTATTATAAAATGTCAAGAAACTTAATTTTGAGGGTAGAGATGCGTTTTATAAAAAAACTGCAGTAAAGATTTTACTCGTTATTAGTATTTAAGTCCGATCCCACTCGAGATATGACCGTCCATCTCCCCACCCCTTTGACCTTTAACCCCCAAAATTCAACAGCATCAATGTCCCTCATACACGAGTTACCATGACAGATTTAATTTCTTAATCATTATCCTATCCTGAGTTATTAAACGAAAAAAAAAACACAAAATTCTGACTTAATTTGAATTCAGGTGGTCTCAAAACGCGAAGATTTGCAAAACAATCCGGAGGTCAAATTTGAAACGACTCCAATACTTTGGGGTGTTATATTATTTATAAACACTAGTGTTTCTCAACAGGGGCGATATCGCCCCATGTGGGCGTTTTTCCATGTTGAGGGGGTGATTAGTAACAATTTATATTTTGGGGGACGAAAAATAATTTTCTGGGCGATATAGTAAAACATTATATTAAGAATAATTAGATATTTTATTCGTTATATCGTACAATAATTAAACAAATAACATTATAGTAGTCACTAGTCTATTCAATGAAGTACGAATTTGGCGTTAGCCTTGGCCCGCGGCATCGGAATTTTGAAGTGAAGGGGGCGATACTACGTAACGGTTTTATTGAGGTGGTGATACTACGTTGAAGGGGGCGACGATTCGTTAGAGGTTGAGAAACACTGATATAAACTATAGGCTATATTTTCTACAGACCTATATAAGAATCCTAATGATACGAATAAAATACTTGTTTCTAGTTATAAACATACCATCTCCATAAGATTCCAGTGTTCATTCTAGGAATAAAAAATTCAGCAAAGAGTTGCGTAACTTTCCGGCAAAAACATTTAAAATTGCGTGTGGCGCCATCTGCTAGGAGATTTTATTTAAATTTTTCTTAATAATGTTTATTTTGAAATAGCAGAGAGATTAATTTTGAGAGTAGAGATGAATTTTATAAAAATATGTAAACCTAAGTAAAATCTTAATTATGTACGAACTTACTCGAGATATGACACACGACTCCCCTCTATCTCTGCATCCCATCGACCTTTAACCACCAAAATTTAATAGTATCAATCCCCCTAATACACAAACCTCCCTGCAAAATTTCAGAAATTTTCGACAAAAAGAACGGGAGTTGTTAATCTTGAAAGTGGACCAACCAAATCTCCCCCACTCACCCATATATACAGAAAAATTCCCTCCGATTTTTTTTCATTCATTTTTCGACGTTTTAAGGTCCCGAGTCCAAAAGCGTAAAAATCTTCGGGGGTCATTTTTTGATCGATCGCCATACTTTCCCTCTGTTATATATAACAGAAGGAAGGTAAAAACGGGAAGAACAAACTTCAATTTGGGAATCACGAGATAAAACAATTTTTTTGCCAAATTTCTGAAAGTCTCCCGGAAATTGTCATATAACATGGTTGCTGAGTATTAATCTGAATAAACCTTATGTGGAACTATATTTTCGGTTACATAATCGCTTGTGGAGCGCATAATTCTC